TAACTGTTAAATCGAAGACAGAGCCGTTGCTTCCACTGCCAAAACCAAAAATGCAATAATGTAAACAAAGCCAGTTAATTTGGCGCCGCCGATTGGCTGAGGGCACGGCTCAGCCCCACTTTACTAGTGCTCGGATTGGCCAAAATTGGCGCCCGCGTGCATATCACGTGAACACGGTACCGTTACATCAACAATGTTAACATTCATCTTCTTTGGTTCTTTCGGTAAAGTCACGTAGAATGAGAATAATAAAATAAGACCATAAAATTCTCACGACGTTTCGGCCACAACACAAGTAGCCTTCATCAGGTGAAAGAACAGAACTGTCGGGACGACAGTGCTCCAGTAGTTGCATGACATCACCAGTGCCGTGGCAACTACCATGCTGTCGTCCCGACAGTTCTGTTCTTTCACCTGATGAAGGCTACTTGTGTTGTGGCCGAAACGTCGTGAGAATTTTATTGTCTTATTTTACTTTATTTTATTATTTTATTCTCATTCTACGTGACCTTACCGCAAGAACCAAAGAAGATGAATCATTGCAGTCACGAAAGCTTTAAATCGAAATTTAATGTTAACATTCGTCACAATGTGAACGTGAGTCGGAACCATGGGGTCCTATGGGAGGCAAAACCTCAACCTAAAAACCGCTAACCGATGTCACTGTTAATCGAGGGACCGCTGTATGTTTGACGATACGATATCAATGTTCTGGCTCAGAAGATGATCGTGACATCGGATTTCCACAAGGGCATCATCGTATTTAAAATCATTTTGTATGTTTGTGCTTTGGTGCACTTCCGGTACGAACACAAGATTGCTTGAAAGTGTTTCAACTGCAACTCACTCAGCCTATGCCTGCCCACGAGTCTCTCATTATAATATTAATCACAGCTTTACAATCTATGACTAAAGCTAAAATATATTTAACCAGGTAAGGCCCACTAAGCTACGACGTAGCTCTTTTTCAGAAGCGACCTGGCCACAAATCCTAGCTCAACAAAGTGGCCCATCATGTGGACATTTATAGCAGACAAATATTCAAAACGCGTAATGTTGATTCGAAACGTGGAGGAAAAACCCGAACGACCCGGAGATAAATCCACGCGACCATGGGGAGAGAGACACCGCAAACTCCCAATATAGAGCAGGCGTCAGGGTCAGGATCGAACCCACAACCTCCAGTATACCAGGCGAGGTAATTAACATCTCCTAGCCACCGTGATAATGAAGAAAGAGACAGACACCGCAAACTCCCAATATAGTGCAGGCATCAGGGTCGGGATCGAACTCACGACCTCCTGTATACCAGGCGAGGTAGTTAACATCTCATAGCCACCGTGATGATGATGATGAGAGACGCAAACTCCAAATATACAGCAGCAGGCGTCAGGGTCGGGATGGAACCCACGACCTCCTGTGTACCAGGCGAGGTAGTTAACATCTCATAGCCACCGTGATGATGATGAGAGAGACGCAAACTCCAAATATACAGCAGCAGGCATCAGGGTCGGGATGGAACTCACGACCTCCTGTGTACCGGGCGAGGGAGTTAACACCTCTGAGCCACCGTGGTGCCGTAGTAACACACACGTTGCCAGCCACACGCTAAATTACTTAATAAACTCTCACTGGTGATGTCATGCAACTACCATGCCGCAAATTTACGCTGCACAATATCGGAGCGGCAGCCAAAGAGTGGAAATGTGCGAACAGTTTTCCATTGGGCGAGACGAGGCAGGTGAGATGACAGCAATATTAGACACAGGTAAGGCAAGAAAGATAAGACGGATCTGACCTAGTGAGTCCTGATACAGGGTGAGACCCAGGTGAGAGAGATTAGACATACAAAGGACATAGGTGAGACACAGAAGATGTGACACGGGGTGATGAGGCAGAGGAGGTGACACGGGGTGATGACACAGAGGAGGTGACACGGGGTGATGAGACAGAGGTGACACGGGGTGATGAGACAGAGGTGACACGGGGTGATGACACAGAGGAGGTGACACGGGGTGATGAGACAGAGGTGACACGGGGTGATGACACAGAGGAGGTGACACGGGGTGATGAGACAGAGGAGGTGACACGGGGTGATGAGACAGAGGTGACACGGGGTGATGACACAGAGGAGGTGACACGGGGTGATGACACAGAGGAGGTGACACGGGGTGATGAGACAGAGGAGGTGACACGGGGTGATGAGACAGAGGAGGTGACACGGGGTGATGAGACAGAGGAGGTGACACGGGGTGATGAGACAGAGGAGGTGACAAGGGGTGATGAGAGACAGAGGAGGTGACACGGGGTGATGAGACAGAGGAGGTGACACGGGGTGATGAGACAGAGGAGGTGACACGGGGTGATGAGACAGAGGAGGTGACACGGGGTGATGACAGAGGAGGTGACACGGGGTGATGACACAGAGGAGGTGACACGGGGTGATGAGACAGAGAAGGTGACATGGGGTGATGAGAGACAGAGGAGGTGACACGGGGTGATGAGACAGAGGAGGTGACACGGGGTGATGAGACAGAGGAGGTGACACGGGGTGATGAGACAGAGGAGGTGACACGGGGTGATGAGACAGAGGAGGTGACACGGGGTGATGATACAGAGGAGGTGACACGGGGTGATGAGACAGAGGAGGTGACACGGGGTGACGACACAGAGGAGGTGACACGGGGTGATGAGACAGAGGAGGTGACACGGGGTGATGAGACAGAGGAGGTGACACGGGGTGATGAGACAGAGGAGGTGACACGGGGTGATGAGACAGAGGAGGTGACACGGGGTGATGACACAGAGGAGGTGACACGGGGCGATGAGACAGAGGAGGTGACACGGGGTGATGAGACAGAGGTGACACGGGGTGATGACACAGAGGAGGTGACACGGGGTGATGAGACAGAGGAAGTGACACGGGGTGATGACACAGAGGAGGTGACACGGGGTGATGCGACAGAGGAGGTGACACGGGGTGATGACACAGAGGAGGTGACACGGGGCGATGAGACAGAGGAGGTGACACGGGGTGATGAGACAGAGGAGGTGACACGGGGTGATGAGAGAGGAGGTGACACGGGGTGACGACACAGAGGAGGTGACACGGGGTGATGAGAGACAGAGGAGGTGACACGGGGTGATGAGAGAGAGGAGGTGACACGGGGTGATGAGACAGAGGAGGTGACACGGGGTGATGAGACAGAGGAGGTGACACGGGGTGATGAGACAGAGGAGGTGACACGGGGTGATGAGACAGAGGAGGTGACACGGGGTGATGATACAGAGGAGGTGACACGGGGTGATGAGACAGAGGAGGTGACACGGGGTGACGACACAGAGGAGGTGAAACGGGGTGATGAGACAGAGGAGGTGACACGGGGTGATGAGACAGAGGAGGTGACACGGGGTGATGAGACAGAGGAGGTGACACGGGGTGATGAGACAGAGGAGGTGACACGGGGTGATGACACAGAGGAGGTGACACGGGGTGATGAGACAGAGGAGGTGACACGGGGTGATGACACAGAGGAGGTGACACGGGGTGATGAGACAGAGGAGGTGACACGGGGTGATGACACAGAGGAGGTGACACGGGGTGATGAGACAGAGGAGGTGACACGGGGTGATGAGGCAGAGGAGGTGACACGGGGTGATGACACAGAGGAGGTGACACGGGGTGATGAGACAGAGGAGGTGACACGGGGTGATGAGACAGAGGAGGTGACACGGGGTGATGAGGCAGAGGAGGTGACACGGGGTGATGACACAGAGGAGGTGACACGGGGTGATGAGGCAGAGGAGGTAACACGGGGTGATGAGACAGAGGAGGTGACACGGGGTGATGAGACAGAGGAGGTGACACGGGGTGATGAGGTAGAGGAGGTGACACGGGGTGATGACACAGAGGAGGTGACACGGGGTGATGAGACAGAGAAGGTGACACGGGGTGATGAGAGACAGAGGAGGTGACACGGGGTGATGAGACAGAGGAGGTGACACGGGGTGATGAGACAGAGGTGACACGGGGTGATGAGACAGAGGAGGTGACACGGGGTGATGAGACAGAGGAGGTGACACGGGGTGATGATACAGAGGAGGTGACACGGGGTGATGAGACAGAGGAGGTGACACGGGGTGACGACACAGAGGAGGTGACACGGGGTGATGAGACAGAGGAGGTGACACGGGGCGATGAGACAGAGGAGGTGACACGGGGTGATGAGACAGAGGAGGTGACACGGGGTGATGAGACAGAGGAGGTGACACGGGGTGATGAGACAGAGGAGGTGACACGGGGTGACGACACAGAGGAGGTGACACGGGGTGATGAGACAGAGGAGGTGACACGGGGTGATGAGACAGAGGAGGTGACACGGGGTGATGACACAGAGGAGGTGACACGGGGTGACGACACAGAGGAGGTGACACGGGGTGATGAGACAGAGGAGGTGACACGGGGTGATGACACAGAGGAGGTGACACGGGGTGATGAGGCAGAGGAGGTGACACGGGGTGATGACACAGAGGAGGTGACACGGGGTGATGAGAGACAGAGGAGGTGACACAGGGTGATGAGAGACAGAGGAGGTGACACGGGGTGATGAGACAGAGGAGGTGACACGGGGTGATGACACAGAGGAGGTGACACGGGGTGATGAGGCAGAGGAGGTGACACGGGGTGATGACGCAGAGGAGGTGACACGGGGTGATGAGAGACAGAGGAGGTGACACAGGGTGATGAGAGACAGAGGAGGTGACACGGGGTGATGAGAGACATTCCGGCCTCCCCTCTCTTCGCTACCCCCCCGGTGCTCGACTTCGCCCGGGGGTGCGCGGCGCTCCCAGGGAGGGCGAGGAGCTCGCGCGAGGTAAAGCGGCGCCCCCCCCCCCCCCCCGAAGTTCCCGTGCCGTGCCCCCCAAAGCGCCCCCCCCAAGTTCCCGTGCCGTGCCCCCCAAAGCGCCCAGCCCGAGGCGCCGTGGCCCCCCACACGAACCTGCTGCTTGCGCTGCTTCCTTCGCTCCGCCATCGCCATCTCGGCGACCGTTGCGTGGCCGATCTCGCGAGAGCTCCCGCGCGCTCTCGCGAGAGTTGCAACGGCGGCGGCGGTGTCGTCATCGCGGCGGTTGGAGCTACACGGCGGCCATGCTGGGTAGGGGTGGGGAGGGGGAGCGGTGGCGCAGCGGTTAGCGCGCTGCCGCTGCGAACCCCGGCGACCCGAGTTCCATTCCCGCTCACGGTCACCAACAGCGGTGACGACTATATGTACCGGGTCCTGGGCGTCCCCGTGGTCCACTCAGCCTCAAATGAGTACCTGGTGTGTAGTAAACATCGCCACCGGGGAGACAAAGGCGGCCGGGCGTGGTGCTGGCCACCCACCCTCTAGTGTGCCGTCCCAGCCTTCACAGGTGCTGCTCGCTAAAATTTGCCCCTACAGTCTGTTCGAGGCTACACGAGGGGGGGTCTTTGTTTTGGGTTTTATGCAACGCGCCTGATGGAATGTGTAAGACATACTTCACATTTTTGTATGGAGAGGGTTGAATTAAGTGATGTATGGGCCGCCGCTGGTGGACAAATGTTAACTACCTCGCCTCGTGTACAGAAGGTCGTGGGTGAGATCTCCATAACTCTCAACCAGTGCCCTTTCCTTATTACAGACTCATTCAGACCTTTATTGGTCACCCCGTGCCCCTTATAAATCTCAACGTTCAACCTACAAACCCCCATCACAAGGGAGAAACACAAATAGACCAACCAAAAGTTATATTCTTCGAAAGAACCAAGAATATGAATCCCTGCAGTCACGAAAGCTTTAAATCAATATTCAACCAAATGTTGTTGACCGTATTGAAACGGCTGTATGCCGTATGGACCTGAAAACTCTATTTCCCTGTACAAGAATATGGGCTTAATTCTAGATTTAAAGCTTTCGTGACTGCAAGGATTCATACTCTTTGGTTATATTCGGTAAAGTCACGTAGGTAAAAAATAAAACAAAAATCACAAGGTTTCGGCCACAACACAAGCGGCCTTCATCAGGTGAAGGGATCAGGCTGTCTCGAGGACAGCGCTGGAGTGAAACACAGCCACGCTCAGACCGCGGACCTTTAAGCTGTGTGCGAGGAAACAAGGTGCCTTGACAAAGGAATTAGCATAAACATTAGCATTTGATTGGCCGACTTAGCATAGAGGTGTTGTACGGGTGCACATGCCGGTTGGCGCGGGGGGGAGTTTACCTATTGATGGTGTGAAAAGGGAATTTAAGAGCTGCGAAAGTTTGGGGTACCACTACTTGAAAAATATACTGTACCATTGAAAATTAGTTTAATGTTTGGTTCGATTTAGAACATCTTTCGAATGGTTGCTTAATTTGAAACCATCTCGGTTGAAATTGTGTCTGTGCTTGTAGATCTGAATTGCCTCGTGAACAAATCTCTGATAAAAACCCGTGGGTTTGCAAAGAACCTTGGTATCGGAGAAAATTATATCGTGATCACCCACAGCGTTGTAACAATGATCAGCTACGGCAGAAGAATTCGTTTTGCCGTGTTTCAAATCTTGTGCTCGCGAATTCGGTCAGAGACATGTCGCTTTGTCTCCCCGATATAGCAATCACCGCAGGTACAACTCAATTTGTAAACCCCAGGGTACTCTAAGTCAGGAATGACATCCTTCACGGATGGGATCAGATCACGAATTTCGTGTACTGTATTGAACCGGACCTGGATCTTGTTTGTTTAGAATTTTGGAAATCCTTTTAGTAACGCCTGCTATATATGGTAGTGTGATGGTTTTGACCGGAGTATCAAGTGGTTGTTTCTGTATGGAGGGAGAAACAGCTTGGCGGATGGTACGGTCAGAGTATCCATTCCTTTTGAGGGCCAGGTGTACATGTTTTAATTCACCGGTCAGGTGGTGTTGGTCCGAAATGCAATGAGCCCTATGGTATAAAGTTTTGATGAGAGTTTTTTTATTGGTTCACTATATAGTATTCATTATATATTGTAGTGTATACCCAGTTACTGTGAATAGCTCAGATGTGTAGGCTTTGACTTCAACATAGCCATTTCTGTGACCAGTCACAAGCTAATCACTCAGTTATTTCAATGCTAAATTCTCCTAGTTATTTCAATGCTAAATTCTCCTGTTTGATTTGTACTAGGTGCCTCTGTGAATGTGTATGCTCTGACTTTAACATAGCTATTTCTGTGACCAGTCACAAGCTAATCACTCAGCTGTTTCAATGCTAAATTATATGCTAATTCCTTTGCCAAGGCACTCTGTTACTTCTCACACAGCTTAAAGGTCGCGATCTGAGCGTAGCTTTTTCGCTCCAGCGCTGTCCTCCAGACAGTCTCGTACCTTCACCTGATGAAGGCCGCTTGTGTTGTGGCCGAAACGTCGTGATAATTTTATTGTGTTATTTTATCAATTTATTATTTTATTCTCATTCTACGTGACTTTACCGAAAGAACCAAAGAAGATGTATCAAGTGGTTGTTTCTGTATGGAGGGAGAAACAGCTTGGCGGATGGTACGGTCAGAGTATCCATTCCTTTTGAGGGCCAGGTGTACATGTTTTAATTCACTGGTCAGGTGGTGTTGGTCCGAAATGCAATGAGCCCTATGGTATAAAGTTTTGATGAGAGAATTCTTCTGGGCTGGGTGGTGGTGGGAATCAGGCTTCAAGTAGGAATCCGTGTGGGTGGGTTTCCTGTAGACAGAATGCCCCAATGAGCCATCAGGTCTCCTCTCAAACAGAACATCCAAGAATGGTAGCTTGCCATCTTTCTCCACCTCCATGGTGAATTTGATGGCGGGATGTCTGGAATTGATGTGGTGTAGGAAAAGGTTCAGAGCTGGGAGGCCATGTGGCCAAATGACGAAAGTGTCATCCACATATCTCTTCCACAGGGAAGGTCTGAGGGTGGAAGTCTGGATGGCGTCTGATTCAAATTTCTCCATGAAAATATTGGCTATCACTGGTGACAAGGGGGATCCCATGGGGGTACCCTCATTTTGTTTGTAGAAGGAGCCATTCCAAGTAAAGTAGGTATTGTTGAGGCAGTGCCTAACCAGTGCAGGTGTATCAGGGTCTAGTCCATGTTGGATCAAATTTTCAATTATTTCAATGGTATCAGGTACTGGGACCTTGGTGAACAAAGAGACCACATCGAAGCTGACAAGGATATCGTCAGGGGACAGTACAACGTCTTTGACCATAGAGACCAATTGTGCTGAGTTAAGTACTGCTGAGGCGGTCTTGCCAGTGAAAGGCAGCAAGGTATCTGACAGAAAACGGGCCAGTCTAAAGGTAGGGGAGTTGATCGTGGATACGATGGGTCGTAGTGGGGTGCCTTCTTTATGAATCTTGGGAAGACCATAGAATCTAGGGGGTCTACGTGACTTTACCGAATAGAACCAAAGAGTATGGATCCTTGCAGTCACGAAAGCTTTAAATCTAGAATTGATAACCTCTACGGGGAGGGCTTTCACCTATCTGTTAGAGCTTTTAACAGACAACGGGACAAGAAGTCACAGCTCATCGAGACGCTGACCTTCCTCAAAAGATGCCGCGACCACAAGGTAATACCCATCGCCTTCACACTCACTTCTGCTGCTGTGTCCTCACCAAATTCTAAACAGATTCTGTTTAAGGCCAGCCTATCTTTAATCTCAGAGAGGATAAGGCTACTCCGATTTGAACTCGATACTTTAGACAGGACTCTCCTACAAGCTCATTTAATGTTAACACAAAAAATGTCACCTTCTGATTGGAATCACGTAGACAACATGACTGCTTCTTCTGCTGATTCACTGTCAGTCAAATGTAAAGCTAACTTGATTTCTAAATTCAACCACCTATCAAAGAAGAACCCAGTTCCACATATAACAAAACTTGACATTAACAAAATCGTCATTAATCAGAGTAGCACCCCGATTTCGGACAATCTGAAAACAGTACTGGCTAGGGGACTGAATTTTGCTGTCACCCCAAAACACATATCAGTAGATGATATCATCGCTCAGGTCGATGTAGCCCTCAAAGGCGTGGGACATATCCAAGCAGACGTTGCGAGAGCTGAAATAGCCACTATTCTTAAGAATGTTAAGAAACCCATTAGTAACATCAGCAAAAATGAACGCTCTGAACTCGCGAATTTAAAAAACAGAAGTGATATAGTCATCCTCTCAGCCGATAAAGGCAATGCCACTGTAATTATGGATAAAGATTCATACAACAACAACAGCATCCAAACTTTCGCAGCTCTTAAATTCCCTTTCACACCATCAATATGTAAACTCCCCCTCCCCCCCCCCCCCCCGCGCCAACCGGCATGTGCACCCGTACAACACCTCTATGCTAAGTCGGCCAATCAAATGCTAATTTTTATGCTAATTCCTTTGTCAAGGCATCTTGTTTCCTCGCACAAAGCTCAATGGTCGCGGTCTGAGACAGCCTGATCCCTTCACCTGATGAAGGCAGCTTGTGTTGTGGCCAAAACGTCGTGATTTTTGTTGTTTTATTTTTTACCTACGTGACTTTACCGAATAGAACCAAAGAATACGAGCTTAACCGTATGGGTTGAGAGTTTTGACACTCGCACATACCGCCTCGTCCACTCTTTGTAACGGACGCTATCCCAATCTCACGACTTATCACCTGGTGAAACAAAATATTGCCATCTTCAAACTTGTACTCACCCACCCCTCACCCATTATTCACTCGCTCAAGTCACTCTTGTAAATCTTCGGTTCTCACCGCACTCACTCGCAGAGACTGACTCGCCAACTCACTCATTCACTCCGCAAATGAGAACTCATCCTATATCATGGGGTACATTTTTGCCAGTATCAAAGTGTTGAGGTGCAAATGACGACGCGGAGGCAGGTCGTCAGGTAAGGGCTTGCGCCGGTTATTTATTAAGGGTTTCGGATAACTTTCACCCGAGGTAGGTGCCCTACACTGGGTCCTTCACCCGGACCTTCACTCTGTCTGTTCCTAGCTCGGCTAGCTCCAGGACTCTCTCCCTCGAGTTGGATCGGGGGTTCAGCCAACACCGACCGACCGGGGAGAGCGGCACCTTCCACGGCTACAGCCGG